GCACCATTGCCCATGCAAGACCCCCCAGTAGCCTCTTTGCAAAAAAAAGCCCATTTGTAAAAAGAATCATCAGCCTCCCGCCAAATAAAGGACTTTGGGATGAGGAATTGTGTCTGCTGGAACGGGGGTGCGAGGGACCAGACCTGGGGTGGGTTTGTGCCCCCATTTCCCCCGCAGCCTAGACATCTATGATGTCCCGCAGGATTTCTCCAGCCCTCCTGCAGCCTCAGGGYGTCTGCCAGGGAAAAAACATATAAATAGAAGGGAAAAGTGAGGGATAAAATGGGAAAAGTGGGAGGAGTCTTCACTGGACTCACAGAGGGCAGGAGGGACGAGGCGCCAGTGCTTTGGGATGGGCACAGCGCTCGGTACATCAGCACCAGAGCTCTCTCTGATGCCCCCGGCTGCTCTCRGCAATTAATCCAGACCCTTCCCATGCAAATCCCCTCCCGCGGGACCCGGGCAGAGGCAGCCCCGCGCGCTGCCTGCGGCGGGACGTCGCGATTCGGGCCCACCCGGCGGGTTCTTCCTCTTTCTGCAGCGCGCTCGGCCGCTCCCCCCGGAGCCTTATCGCCTGGCCTCGCTTTTGCAAGGGTTATTTTTGCCAGCGAAACCCCGGGGCCGGCCGCAGTTATCTCTTGCAAAATCAGCACCCGGATAAGCGCTTTCTGAGAAGCGCGTCGCGAGCGGGGCCGCAGCTGCTCTGGGGCCGTGCCGTGCCATTGCTGCCCCCAGGGCCGCGCTCATCGCCCGCCTCGGGCTCCGGCCGCCCGGGAGCTCCACGAGCCCGTTTGGCTCCGAGGCGGCCGTGGGCGTCGCGGGCTTCCCTGTTTTGAAGCCGCAGGGATCGGGCGCAGGCCTCGTGTGCAGGGAAGCGGCGCCCAGGAAGGGAGCTGCACGGGCGGCCTCTGCACCATGACCTGCTGCGCATGATGGGGGCATTRAATAAAATACAAAAAAGCAGAGATTTGGGGATGAGCCACTTAAAAATAAGTGAATGGGCTTTAATGCAGCGATGCGCAACTCTAGGAAGGAAAAAAAAGCAGCTGCTCTCAGGATGTGCGAGCGGCGCCGTGGGCAGGGTGAGGCTGCAGGGGCAGGACCTGCTTATTGCGAGGTGAAACTCAACTGTGCGGGCACCTTGTGGGCAGGATGAGCAGCGTCTCTTCCACGTGCCCATGGGAATCCCGTGGGATGTGACCCCCTCACCTTCCCCACGTGCCCTGTTTTGAAGCTTTTCCTTCCACAAATGAAGGGGAGCTGCTGCTGGAGCTCGCGCAGGCCCCGGGCTGTCAGACACCCCCACACAAATCAGCTCTGGGGCGAGACAGGCGGGTTCCGCTTTCCCTCAGGATGTGGGTAAAAGGAGCATCAGCCGCCAGCGCAGGACAGAGGGGGACGGGCAGCAGCACTGACTGAAGGTGCCACCTTCTGCGCACCATCAATTCACAGAGGTGGGTAATCAAGCTGAATTAAGTACATTTACAAGGGCACATGGGGTAACTGAGGTTACCCGAGTGAAACATCACCCCAAACGCTGCCACTTCAGAGGGCAGCTCTGCAAAAAGGGTAGCTCTGCTCCCACCTCCACAACGTGGCACTTGGGGTCTTGTTCTGCTGTTATGGCAGGACTGGGTCTTCAGGAGGGCCATTTGCTCCCCATGGGGGTGCTTGTTTTGGGGCTCCCATGTGGGCGGCCTTGGCTGCAGCTCCTGCAAGGGCATCAGTGCATTCTCAGTGCCCTCTAGCGCCCGTTCCTGCCCTCCCCGGCGGGAACATCCCAGTTCCTCCCAGAGAGGAGGAAYGGAGACCAGCAGAGGGAGCAGGTCCCAGGCTGCGAAATGAAACCTCTGGCACAGCTGTGGTTTGCAGACAGATGCACTGCTCCGCATTCATTGCATTGATATAGGAATTGACCTGCAGTTCTTACACGAACATTAAGACCAAGGCAACATTTCCCATTAAACTCTGCAAAACATTAAGCAAAATTATCAAAACATCTTCCAAAAAGTGCAGCCATTCCAGCACTGGAACATCAGGATTCCCACTTCTGAGAGAAGCCACTAAAGTTCTTTGCAGTTAAGCAGTCTCCTTCACCCAAACATTTCAAAAAAAAAAAAACCAGTCAGGACAGGATACAGGCTGCTGAAACACTCACATTCCAGTCTCTTAAGCACTACCAGAGTGTCTTAACACACATGGAACGGTGACACATTGTGCGTAAGTTGTGCGTGTCTTACAGCTTCATTGAGTAGTGCACAGGATCTAACAGCTAGAGTAATTGCACTGCAAATTTAAGTGGAATGAGAACAAGCTCTACAGTCCATTCAGGCATTGGTTGTTTTCTTCTCTGACTCTTCTTTCTTTGGATCCTGCTTCAACTTATAATCAGCCAAGGCAGCCTTGATTGCATCTTCAGCCAACACTGCAAGGAAAACAAAACAAAGTTTCACAGGAATGTTTCAAAGAAGGCATGAAAAGCCTTTTAGAACAGAATAAACAGTAAGACCAGCAACAGCACCATAGGATTTTGAGAACAGAGTCAATATTTTGGAAGTAAAAAGCCAAAAGTCAAACATAACATCATTTGTCTTCTGACCCAYGCAGAACCCAAAAGAAGATGAAAAGAAGATGGAAAACGTCTGAAAACTCTGAATGTCACTCTCCAAAGCCGGAATACAGGCAACCTTTTCTTACAGACCAGCCGTGGTCATTCCACATACAGGTATTTTATTYGGATAATTAACATTTGGAAGTATCTGTGCCATTAGCAAAAGTCTTAATTCACACAGTTTAGTCCTTTACTTACTAGAGCAGTGCAGTTTGACGGGAGGAAGGCAAAGTTCTTTAGCAATGTCTGTGTTCCTGATCTTCAAAGCTTCGTCAACCTGAAGAACACAGTTTGCATGAGGTCACTAGTGATCTCATGTATAACACAGGCTGCAAACACATTTGCCAGAATATTGGTACAAACCTAATGGAATTGGCACATCAGGATCTCTCACATGCCCCTGGCAGCACAGGATGCTGAACAACATCCTGATGTTCAAGGCAAGAAAACCCCTCAATATCTACCCCATTTTCTGCTGTGCCTGCCACGTAACAGGTTTCAGGAACATCTCGAGTAGTAGCATCAACCAAAACACACTAGTGCCAGGGTCCAAGTAGGACTGTAAAGAACTGCTCCAAGTGTCTTTACATTTTCTCCCAATGCAGAAACACAAGCTTTGTTAAACTCGTACAGAAATGGGACAAGTAACACACCATTACAGCTTTTTTTCCTCCTCAGACCTCGTGATCAACATGTTTTTTCCTGCTGCACAACCCCCAAAACGCTTCCCTGCAGATCAATGTAGAATCTTGGAAGCGACAGCTACGGCCCCACAAGCCAGGCTGCTGGCAGGGCCAAAGTTCTCAGCCGCTGCTTTCCAAGCTACAGCACCACATGGCACAAACCACATGCRGCGTCTTCTGTGCCTCTGCTCCCCATTCATCCCAACGGGGAGAAGACTCGGTCCTTGAAGCGCTCTRTGTGTTGCCCCCTCCACAGGGACCTCTTACCGTTTTTCCCTTAACCCACTCGGTAGCCAGCGAGCTGGAGGCGATGGCCGAGCCGCAGCCGAACGTCTTGAAGCGGGCGTCGATGATCTTCCCGTTCTCGTCCACCTCCACCTGCGGGAGCGGCAGTGGCAGCACCCGGCCAGGGGTCCCCAAAACACCCTCGGGAGCAGGGGGGAATGTCGGGAAGCACCTGGCTACATCCCGGCGAGTGGGGATCAGGGCCTGGGRAGGGGATAAGGGAACTAGGGCATGGAGGGAGGGGGACACAGCAGACCAGGCCACAGCCAAGAGGCCCCAAGGTCACCCGCGAGCGCAGGGTGACCCCCCAGGCCCAGGGACACCCCCGGCTACCTGCAGCTTCATGACGTCTCCACAGGCGGGCGCGCCCACCAGGCCGGTGCCCACGTTCTTGGCGTTGCGGTCCAGCGAGCCCACGTTGCGCGGGTTCTCGTAGTGATCCACGACCTGCGCGGGGCCGCCGCGTCACCACCGGCCACGGGCACCCGCCCCTTCCCGCGGCAGCCCGGCCCCGCCGCCGGCCCCGGGGGCCGGTCCCGTGTCCCCGGCCCTCACCTTCTTGTGGTAGCCCAGCCTGGCCGCCGCCCGGCGCCCCGGCCGCAGCAGCAGCGCGGCCCCCGCCGCCCGCAGCGCCGCCATCTTGCAGTGCGGGGGCGGGCCGCGCCGCGCCGCCCTTTTATAGCCTGCGCAGGGGGCGGGGCCTCGGCGGCCGTTACGGCCGTTGCGCCTGAGGCGCTGCCGTTAGCGGCGCGGCGGCCGCCGCAGGCCCCGGGAGGGCCTCGTCATGGTGCTCCCTGCCCCGGCGACGCCGCGCCCGCTCCGCGGCTGYGGGCGCTTCCCCCCGTGCCCTTCGCTCTGCCCCGCTGCTGTGTCGCTGTTTTAGGCCGAGCTTTTGGCTCGTCGCTTTGGGGGAGGTCCCGGGTTCCGGCCTCGCAGGGCCGCGTGCGGGGGGCAGATAGCGCCGTTATCGCCTCGCCGCGGGGCGGCGCCGCGCTTGGCAAGGGCACCTCGAGACGGGCAGCGCGGGGGGCTCTCCTCAAGGGCTCTGTCGCTATGCATAACGTATAATTGCATTACTAATGCAATGCGTAATAATGCATAATTAATAAAGCCTTGATTCTAGCAGTTAGCATAGTTTTTCTGAGCGTTTTTCAGGATTTTTGTGTGTGGCGCAGCCGCCTTTGGCAGGCGGGGTCGCCGCACGTGCGGCGCGCGCCTGCCACACTCAACATGGCGGCGTTCGCCTGCTCTGGACCTTCTCTAAGGCCCCCCGTTTGCCAAGCCCCGGGGTGGCCTCGGCGGTGCCTGCGCCGCGCAGGAGGCTGCAGGACGGGCGGCAACGCGAGGCGATGGGTCCGGCGTGGCGTGGGCAGCCCTGGCGGCTGGCGGAGCGGCGCTAGCTGCGAAGGGAGCTGCATAAGATGGCGGCGGCGGGAGCCGAGGCGGCCGCAGCGGTGTCTGAGGAGGAGGAGCAGAAGCGGCTGCTCGAGGGCGACCCCGAGTCGGGGGGCGACTCGGACGATGAGGGCGACTCGGAGTCGTCGGGCGATGGCGAGGACGAGGAGAAGGAGAACGAGGCCGAGATCCAGCGGCTAGAGGAGCAGGTGAGGCCCGCGGCAAGCGGCGGCGCGTGGGCAGGGGGCGGCGGGGCCGACCCAGGCCCGGCCGGGCAGCGGCTCCGGGGCCGCGGGGCAGCGGCCGGGGCTCGAGCCCCCTGCGCTCCGGGTGCCCTTTCGRGCCCTTTCAGCACCGAAATACCCGTAGCGATACTCAGAAAGCCGGTGGTGCCGCGCGGCTGGTGCTGAGATTTGTGCGGGTGGGAACGTGTGGGGTCCGAAGCGCGTGTGTGCGAGGGCAGTATTTGTTTTGTTTTGTTTTTCTGGGATATTGTTTCCAAAAAAGCTGCGGGCGAAAGTCCTGGTGAATGAACAGCTCCATTCATCGAAAGGGCGCTTCTGGCTCTCTGTTTTGCTTTTGCTGTAGAGGAAACAAAAAACAGGTTGAAAAAGTGTCTCACTGGAGCGAGCTGCCCGCTCGGTGTGTGCTTTGTGTGAGGATGGGGACAGTGGCGGCCTTTGGGTGCCCCGTTTGCCCCTGGAAGTGACACCTTGGGGTGGATTTTGCGGGCAGGAGCCCCGCGCTCCCGACTGCAGCTGCTGCACCGCTCAGCAGCAGCTCTTAGCTCTGCAAAAGTTAAAGATTTGCTTAACTTGACGGCGTTTCTTTATGAACTTCGKGACCTGTAAGTGTCTTGCAAACGGCAGTGAGGTTTGGCAGTAGCTGTGCAGGAGAACAGGCTTTGTCTCTCCTGCGTGAACAGTTGATGACGTTCTGTTCTGCTAAGTTTTTTTGATTTCTTATAGGTCCATCACTTAACAGCACTTGAAAAAGACTTTTTTTTTTTGTCATTTTTTAAGCTTTCTATCAATGCCTTTGACTACAACTGTCACTTGGATCTGATAAAACTGCTCCGCCAGGAGGGAGAGCTGGTGAAGCTCAGAAGAGCCCGTCAGAAGATGAGCGAACTCTTCCCTCTTACTGAAGGTACAGAAGCCAGTGCTATTTACATGTCATTTGCATGAAGTGAGCTTGTTTCAGTAGCAAAATAATGTGTTTGTCAGGTGTTGGTATGTGTTTTCTTTTCMTGGTGGTACTTTCAGGAAGGATTCAGGAAAGATGCATCTCTTTGTGCCTCACTGGTTACAGGCACCACACTGATCCCCTGCCCGAGGTGTTGCTACATTTGCACTGTTTGCAACTTCTGTTCTCTCTAAATACAAACACACTTGTTTAGTACCGAGCTGGAAATGACTTTTCATCAGAATTAACCACGGGTGGTTGTGGAGGCAGGACTTGCTCCCCTCGCCCTCTTCCCTCCCTTCGTCTTTTTAAGGAGCCTGTTTTAAAAAATGGCAGAATTGTTCAACAAGTGGATTTAACTTAATCTTTCTGAATGGTGGTGATGCATTCTAAGCTTCTTGCTTTCAGAGATTTGGCTGGACTGGCTGAAGGATGAGATAAAAATGGCTTCTGAAAGCTCTGAGCGAGAGAAAGTTTATGAGCTATTTGAGAGAGCTGTGAAGGACTACATCTGTAAGTTGTTTCCATTATTCCTGCTGTGAGGCAGAACTTGGATCAAAACTAGTGTGGGGTGTTTTTTTCTTTTTTTTTTTTTCTCTCCTATGGTGTAGTAATTAAAGGCTGCTAAAAGACAGGACTTTTTATGTACCATTGCAATGGTGATGCTGATACAGGTGTCTGGAATATACATTTTTTTTTTTTCCCTACATTGGATGATGAAGACAATTCATATAACTTGGTCTGCTTGTATGCTGTGAGCGATAGGCGTTCAGGAATAGTTTTCATTTTGTTTTGCTTTCCCCCTCTGCTTTTTTGAGGGGATGGAGTTACCTGTTTCTCACAAACTCTTTCAGGTCCTGAAATCTGGCTGGAATACGCCCAGTACTCCATCGGTGGCATTGGCCAGGAAGGAGGCATCGAGAGAGTGCGCTCGATATTTGAGAGGGCGCTGACTGCCGTGGGGCTGCACGTGACCAAGGGGACGGCGCTGTGGGAAGCGTACCGCGAGTTCGAGAACGCCATTCTGGAGACGGCCCAGGTGGGGTCCCCCCGCGTGCGCCTCGCCTCGGGGCCCTGCTGGGCACTGCTTCAGCTGGCAACCACTGCTTTAAGGGACTCGGTTATTAAACACAGTAATGTTCTTGCCGCTCAGTGTTTAGCCATGTGCTCTGCAAATACAAAGATGATAATTGTCTTTCGACTTCAGCATGGATTTCATTCATCATTTCACCCTTCTCGGGCTTTTTATTTGCAGTACGCTACAAGTTTGAAGTCTACCAAAAATACGAGGTGGTCGGAATATCAGTATTGCTGTTTGTGGACAGTTTTCCCATATAAGATGTGGAAGCTAACCAGTCACTAACGGAGCTCTTATAAAAGAGTAACTGGGGAACACCTTTTCTTTCTTTCGTTCTGTTTATGACAGACTTGTTTTAATAAGTCTACTGCACAAATAACTTACGACTCCCAACTTTCTTTCCATTTGTGAAAGCTGGGAGTCTTAAGTTGTTCRTACATTAGACTTATCGAAAACCCACCTGGCAGCCCAAGGCATGGGCACGTGCCATATCTTGGGGTTGTTATTTCCCCACGTATGTGCCAGCTTTCAGTAAGGAACGCTTTTTGCATTCAGCCAGCTTCTGAATCTAGCARCTTGCAGGTTTTAGCTTTACGCTTGTCACCCGAGCTGCCTTGCTCTGCCTGCTCCGGAAGGATCACGTTGTCATTTGGAGCCTGGTTCCCTGCCACGCAGTCAATCTCCTGTCRTGTTCATCAGCCGGGGGTTGCGGGCAGCAATTTCATTTTGCTCCTTGTGTTTGCAGCCGGCCCCTGGCAGCGTTCCGCTGCCCGAGCAGCAGCAGATGCTCTGCAGCCAGCTTGAGAAGATCCACACGCTGTTCCGGCGCCAGCTGGGGATCCCGCTCTTAGGTAAGAGCCCGTGAGCTCGGCAGCACGGCACGGACAAGCTGCCTTGTGGCCAGGCAGYCCTTAGTTGCAGCTCTTCTTTTGACAGTGTTGCTGCAACTGCAGCTCTAGTGTTTATGTGGTTCAATCAGTGAGATTTGCCTGTCTTGAGGGTCTCTTGAAACAACTTGTGAGTTCTTTTTGTGCAGAAATAATTCTTGCTCGTTGAAACTTGGTATTTTGGCACTTGAAAAGCTTCTGCTAGTGTGCTTTTTGAGTATATAATTGGAAGTTATCTAAGTTTTCTAAGGTACAAGTGATTAGCACAAAACAAGACCATTAAGAATGAGGAATTCCGCTGTAAAGATCATCAAGAACCTTAGTTGATGCCTAATAAATATTGTCAGCTGGATTATTAGAATCCTGTCAGATCAGATTCATACTTTTAGTTTCCTGCATCTCTTTCTTTGCCTGTTTGCATGCTTATAGGAGAAAGTTAAGCAGAACTCTTTGACTTCATTTATATATTGTAAGAATTTGGGTTGGTGTCTTTCTTTAAAATACTCGGGGTCTTGTCCCTCTATTTTTCTAACTCAAGCCATAAACTTAAAAGTAATTTGTCCCTAGTTTGTTTTAGAACGCCCTTTAAGCATGCAGCAGTGCAAGAGTAAAGAAAACATAAGCTGAACTGTGCATGTATGTTAGCTTCAAGCATAGGTTGAATTCTGATTGCCTAGTCCAATGAACGTGTTAGTGATGGGGTTTCGTATTAATAGATATGGAAGCTTCATTTGCTGAATATGAGGAATGGTCAGAAGATCCAATCCCAGAAACAATAATAAAGAACTACAAAAAGGCTCTGCAGCAACTGGAAAAGTATAAACCGTATGAAGAGGCGCTGGTAACTGTTATTTATATCCTCTTTTAAGACCAAGAGATAATGAGTTGCTTTGGCATAATTTTGTCTCTAGTAATGGAGGTCAAGCAGCTGAGTATTGCTAGGTGAATCTTAATAGTGAGCAATGTGCAAGAAACTTGTCAGTCATGTACTGGAGACTGTAGAAACGGGATCATCTATTTGCTGTGCTGGGTCAGCTAAAACTAAGTTTTAGTTAGCTAAAACTAACTAGCTAGCYGCTGGCTGTGGCTGCTCCTTCACAACTTGATGTATATGCTGGCTTTGGAGCAGTAAGTAGGGATCTGAACCTGGCTTTGGAACCAGGATGGTATTCAGAGCTTGCTGGAAATCTGTGAAAATCTAAACTGAAACCTTTATGAAACTGTTGATGTTTAGAGGCTAGGCAAGATGGCTGTGAGTTGAATTGCTTGAATCATGCTTTGTTTGGAAGATCTTTATTTTCTGTAACCCTGTTTGTCTTACAGCTGAGTGCTGAAACACCAAAGCTAGCAGAATATCAAGCCTATATTGATTTTGAAATGAAAGCAGGTGATCCAGCTCGCATTCAGTTGATCTATGAGAGGGCTTTGGCGGAGAACTGCCTTGTGCCAGATCTTTGGGCACGCTACAATCAGTATTTGGTAAGGAGGAGAAAAAAAAAGGTGTTCATGGCTTTATTTTCCTATTTTTAATCTTAATAATTGATAAATGACCATCAARTTCTAATTCAGCCCTTCTCCTTAGTTTTTAAAATCCCAGGGAGCTGATAGCCAAGTAACTTGTTGGCTATGTCAAAGCAATTTCCAGTTTTACCTTTTATTCCTTCCTGTTTTATCAGCGGTATACCTATTGATAAGGGAACATTTCTTKGCGTTTTCCTCCAGCTTGGGCCACCTGGCCAGGAACTCTCCAGGAGGGACCAGCCATCCTGAAAGCCCTGAGCTTTCTCTATGGTAGAGGCACCTGACGACGTCCCTCCTGGTCATTGCACTTTTGTAGGAAAGTGGTTCTTTGTCCATGAATTGTTAGGGAACCTGCCTGGCGTTCAGAGGGCACGAGTAAACTGTGGGAAATGTTATTATGCACGGGCAACAGGTGAGGCTATTGAGAGATCAGTGTAACTTGGTACAGGAGACTTAGGCCAAGTTGTTCCGTCATCGTCTCTCATTATTTCACCAGCTTGAAGCAGCAGGTTGCAGGTGGAACAACCAGCCTGTTTCCTGAATAGTCTATCTGTGCACCCTGCTTCTTGTGCCCTTCTCTCCCCTCTGAGCATATTAAGAGCTGGGAATTTACCTTGTGTATTTACTATATATCTGTCTTGTTCTGGTGTAAAACCAAGCAGTTCAGTACTGTGGGCTTCAGTGTGGCATGCAGTCACACCCCGCCACAGCCCCTGAGCCTGCCCGTCCTGTTAGGAGTGAGTTCAGTGGGGTTTTAGGAAAATAGCTTTGAAAATACCCATCTTGTTTTAACTCTTCAAATATGAGATGAAAATGAGCGTGGGTTTTGCGGTGTTGTATTGTTTGTTTTGTTTTAAGGTGTCAGCTGTTTATAGGCTAGTATTCATCTCAAATGGGCTCTTCTGAGTAACGAGCTTAAATTTAACTCTATTAATTTCAGGACCGGCAGCTGAAAGTGAAGGAACTGGTGTTATCAGCCCACGACCGTGCGGTGAGGAACTGTCCCTGGACGGTCGGGCTCTGGATTCGCTATCTCTTGGCGATGGAAAGGCACAGCATTGATCACTGCACTGTTTCTGGTAAAGAAGGGCTGCTTCAGCACAGCTTTCCACAATATGAAATGGCTCTCTGAACTCTGAATAAGGATGTGTGTGTGACAAATAGTGACCTGAATGATGCTGATACAATTCCTTGTAATCCTTGCACAGCAGTGTAAGCTGATGAAGTTTACAGTAGGGTGCTTCTGGAGTAAAGCTGCTTATGTGCAGTAGTTTCCCTTCTGCACATCTTGTTTTAACTTTGCTTGAGCATTACTGAATCAACCTTTTACACAAAATCCTCCATGCAGTAAATTGGTTTAGGAAGCAAGTCTATTTTCTTGTCTTTCTAGGAGTAAAAACTGCCCCTGTTTTTCCTCCTCCGTACTGTAGTGACAAGTCACACATCCATACTTGTGACTTCTGTTAGTAGCTGAAAAGCAAATACAGGTTTGTCTCGTCTCTTGCAGAAATTTTTGAAAAGGCTCTGAATGCAGGTTTTATTCAAGCCACGGACTATGTAGAAATCTGGCAGGCGTATCTTGATTACTTAAGAAGAAGGGTGGATTTTACACAAGGTGTGTATCCTGTGTGAATAGATACTCAAGCTGTTTTCTGGATATCTCTTTGAAACAGTGCTAATCCTTTTTATACTTAACGGTCATCTTTGTCTCTCACAGAAGTTACTTTTGGATAGTTAATGCCTATGAAATGTACTGACTTACTTGTTTTAAAGCAGTTGCTTTTTGACAAGATAGRTTTTGCAGTTCAAAGTTATTTTGCAGTTTTTCAGTTTTACTGAAGTATCTTTGTTTCTTCACAATGTAATTATCTTGTATGTTAGTGGAGAAGCTATATTGGATGAGGGARGAAAACCATTGTTTTTGAGATTTTTGTCACCTTTTTCCTTTCTCAAGACTCAAGTAAAGAACTGGAAGAGCTGAGGTCTGCGTTTGCACGTGCTGTGGAGTATTTGAAGCAGGAGGTAGAAGAGCGTAAGTTAAAACATCCACAGTATATATGTATTTTTTTCCCCCTTGTTCAAGTGATTTTCTATTAACTATAAATACATGTGGAGAGTTAGTTTTGTTAACTTCCTTTAAAATGTTTGGGACTTGAAGATAAGCTAAAAATGTTTCATCTGCAACTTAGAACTTGCTTGTCTAATAAATAATTTATTTCCAAATCCATTCACAAAGAATACTTCTTTTTTTATCCGAAGGTTTCAGTGAGAGTGGAGATCCATCCTGTACCATCATGCAGAACTGGGCGAGAGTTGAGGTGATGTTTCTGTCTACTATATTTTAAATTGTTAGTCCAGAGGAGATGTAGATTTTTAATCGTTCTTAGCACAGAAAGCATGTAGTAGAAACCAGTTTAATATTGTCTACACTAGCTAATTTCAAAGTGGTGCTGGTGCTCCCTTGGGAGGCTAATGCACATCCTGGAGGAGATCTGGCATTCCTTTTCCTTCCTTTTCCACATGCACACACRTGAATCTGGGTAACTAGTGACACTTCTGTGCTCCATTTTCACTGGGCATAATGAGTATAATGGCTTGCCAAAATCTTGGATACTGCAGTCACTGTGACTAAATATAGGTCTGCATCTGGGTTAGTCACCTGCACTTGGAGAGGGAAGGAGRTGCTTCTGGGTGTGATTCAGCTTGTGCTGAAGCAATTCTGTAAAGTCAGCTGTGTAATGTGGTGCCCAYGGGTCTCTAGAGTTAGATCAGATTAATTACACTTGGATGTCTTGAATTCCCCTCRCCCAGATCAAAGGGGCTTAGAGTGATAATAGAGGAAACGCACTATTTATCACTGCACTGAAACACAAAGCCAGTCCTCTGGAGTAGGTGCATTTAGGAATAACAAGATACCAAAAAGTTCAGAAATAATTATCTCCAAATTTGTTTAATGACTAAAATGCAATGTATATGAGAACCAGAGAAAAACACCGATACAACAGCCAAGCCGAGAAATGTTACTCTTAGTAGAATTGCATTATATGCTTACTGTCTATGACCCTAAAAAAACTTTGCTGGTTTTCAGGCTCGCTTRTGTAACAACATGCAGAAGGCCAGAGAACTTTGGGACAACATTATGACTAAAGGGAATGCCAAATATGCCAACATGTGGCTGGAGTATTACAACCTTGAAAGGTAAGACCTTTGAATGGAAGAGTTAATTAGATCCTTTAGTTCCCTCATCACTTTGTGACGAGAGATACAGTTAGCATTGTTAGATCATGAGAGTTTATAAAGTGCTTTGGAGATTCTTAGAGCAGCTCCATCATATCTCTGAACTACTGCAACAAAGCATAGCGTGTGTTAGCTGGGGAAGAGGGAGCAGCCGTTGCGTGGCACGTGGTCATCTCTGTTCCATAACTCTGAGGTGGAGGTTGGCTCCTTTCTGCTGCGATTTCCCCAATGCAGAGCCCACGGTGATACTCAGCACTGCCGGAAGGCCTTGCACCGAGCTGTGCAGTGCACAAGTGACTATCCCGAGCACGTCTGCGAGGTGCTGCTCACGCTGGAGAGGATAGAAGGTAACGGCAAGTTTTCTACTTGTCATTTCACCAAGGCTGCTTTTAGCGTACAATGATACGGAATGAATTTTTGATACAATTTGTTTCCATTTTAGCCATTMACCATTTTAAGATGTTAATTTTAAAATAAGTAAAGATGTATAAACTCATTTTTCTAGAATTGTATTTTCAAAATATGTAAGAGCTAAACACAAGAGGTTTTTTCGTTCTTTAGGAACACTGGAAGACTGGGATGYGGCTGTCCAAAAAACAGAAAACAGATTGGCTCGGGTTAATGAACAAAGAGCAAAGGTCAGAACTTTGTGAACTATGTAAGCAATTAACAGGAAATGCCCCTTTTAGGATCATCTTTGTTTGAATGTCACATTTTTAATGGAATTCCCATGGATGAGCCTGTACTGTCTGTATTCCTCAAAATTATTGTTTTTTAATTTAAAAGTATGATTAGTTTCTTCTGGTGATGCTCTTTGAACTTTTGACATCCGTATGGATACAGATGGCTCGAGTATTCTAAGCAGACTATAAGAACAAACAGCAAAGATACTGCCTAAATGATAATCCTGTTACTGCTGTGTTTTGTAGTAGGAGAGCTCAGAAGAAARCTCTCTAGGTTCTGCACCTCTAGAAAATCCTGTGTTAAGATCTCCTAAATATATAATTGTGCATATTTGTAGGCTGCTGAGAAGGAGGCTGCTTTGGCAAAGCTGGAGGAGGAGAAGGCTGAGCAACGAAAGCAGTCTCGGGCTGAAAAGAAAGCTTCCAAAAAGGCAAAGAAAAACAGGGCTGGAGATAAGCGCAAAGCAGAGGATGACGATGAGGGAGAATGGGGACAAGAGGAGGAAGGTAAAAAACTTAAGATTTCTGTCCTCTGGCCACAGGATTTTTGATTCTTTCTCTTCAGTTAGAGGTTGCTGAGGAAGAGGTATCATTAATATCTTGAGCGTTGCTCTGTTTTCAGGATCCGAGGAGGCCTTCATTCCGTGTGGAGAAAGATGCGTTTTCTTAGCAGTTATAGTGAAATGAAAGCAAGATTAAATGCTTTCTGAGTAAGAGAAGTATATGTTCATAGTAAATTTTAGAGGGTTGAAAAATGCTCCATCCTGTTTGGCAAATAAGTAACTTGAGCAGGTCATTTATAACTGACAGCGAAAATATCCACGTAGTTTWATTCTAAATCCCTTCTGTTTGGGTCAAGTAATCTGTTCTTCATTATTAGAAAACTGATAGAAGTTTCTATGTCCTGTCTTTAAGACTTCTCATTGTCCTTATTTTCACACGCAGTTTTCAGAGACTATAGTGGTAACGGAGGACAGCTTATTTATTAGGAAGGAGAAATGGTCTAATTTTTCTAGTAAGGCTTTCGATTTCATTAACCAACAGAGCAACCCAGCAAGAGACATAAGGGAGACGGCGATGTTTTACCTACCGAAGAAGAAATGGAGGTGGAAACTGGCTTGTTTGGAAGGAGCGCCCCCGAAAAGCCTGAGCAGCCCCCAAACCAAAAGGAAAAGGCGTCTACCAGTCGGAAAGAGATTCCCAAAGTTCTCCACGACAGCAGCAAGGATAATGTCACGGTGTTCGTCAGCAATCTGGCGTACACCATGGCYGAGCCGCAGGTGAAGCTGAGGGGGCTCTTTGAGAGCTGCGGGGAGGTCGCAGAGGTCCGGCCCGTGTTCAGTAACAAGGGGACTTTCCGGGGCTACTGCTACGTGGAATTCAAGGAAGAGAAATCGGCTCTCCAAGCTCTCGGCCTGGATCGCAAAGTCGTGGAGGGAAGACCCATGTTTGTTTCTCCCTGTATTGACAAGAACAAGAATCCAGACTTCAAGGTACAATTTGCTCTTATTTTTCCTAGAAATACATTGAACAGTGGGACGGCTTAAAAAAAACAGCAGAATATGTTACTTCCACAGGACTTGTATGGAAGAATTCATATTTTGCTAGTTTGGAATGGTACCTGTTAAGTCTCAGCAGGAAATCAGTGTTTTTCTGAGTTCCCGTATCTCATGTTTTCTTGCCATGAACKAAACTGATACTAGCAGGTATCTGCCTAAACCAACCGCAGCAAGTTGTTAGTGATGTGTGTACCCAGACTGCTAATAGGCTTTTATTATAGATGCGCTGGTTCTTGTTAATGATGCATAGTAGSTGCAAGTGATACAGCTTGCATGTTAATAGTTTTCTGCGTTATTGGATTATTGTACAGAGGATTGGTAAGTACTTGGTGACAGCCGAGCAAGAAATCACCTTAACAGTGGCAGTTCTCTCCACAAAACAGGCAGAAGTGCAGGAGCTTCTCAGTTTGAAGAACGATTTGCCATTCCTTGGAAGTTCTTATTTTTGGGTGGGGGAAATGAGTTATACAAATGTCTTYCAGGATCCTACCTATCAGTTTATTTTGCACAAATACATAGTGATGGAGATTTAGTGTAGTAATTAGAAGTTTCTCACTTGATAGGGAATTAATAGCTTTTCCTTTCTGTAGGTGTTCAGATATAGCACTACGCTGGAGAAACACAAACTCTTTATATCTGGTTTGCCGTTTTCTTGCACTAAGGAAGAGCTGGAAGAAGTGTGTAAAGCACATGGAAATGTGAAAGACATAAGGTTGGTCACCAATCGAGCTGGAAAACCCAAGGTAAGCATCCTTGGTGCRCTGTTAACTTTACGAAAACCTTCAAAGAGCCACTTTTCATGAGGCTTGCTTATAAAGATCTATCTTTTAAAAGCAAATGAGACTTGAACAAGTAGTTTGCCAACCTGGCTKTGCCTTAAAACTTGCAGAAATTGAGAGGTTTATACAGTGAAGGGTGACTTTGTGACAACAAATGAGAGACRGGGCAGGAAAAGGATTTTTTTTTCTTTGTTTCTTTTAACTTGAGTAAGAAGAATGTGTGATCTAACAGGGATGAAGAGAAAAATACTTGCAGCAGCTTCAGCCTAATAAGAGGACACGTTATGAAGTCTGTGAAGAACATTTMCTTTCTAAAATAACTGTGCTAAAGTGAATCGCTTCCTGCCTATCCTCAGTTTCTTGCTGTGATTGTTCATAGCACCTGCTGCAGTCATGAATTTGCTAATGAGAAATTAGCCACCTTTCTCTGGGGCTTATTTCCATCTTATAATATGTAGGCGCGGGTTAAATAAGAGATTCCAAACCAGCTGCTGTTCTGTGGAAGCCCTCTGTGACCCTCCAGCCTGCCTGTGTGTTGGGCGCCTCTTCCAGGCTTCATTCTGGTCATGTGCCTGTAAATTAATCTTTTATTGTTCTCTTTAGCTCTTAGTGATACCTCAGTTTCTGTTTATGCAAACCTTGTGATGACTGGTCTTGGGTCTACCCCAGGGCTTGCAGCACAGGCTCCCAGCATAATTTGAGTGGGGATTCTGCTTGAACTGTGAATAAATGTGCTTTAAATGACTGTGTTGCATAAGACCTGATGTGCCTGTGGCGTCCTGTGAAGCCAGATAATCCAAACAACCCGGCTTTGGGGGTCGAGTGTCACTCGGGAGAATAACAAAAGCAGAACCGGCAGCGATGTTTCTGCAAACACGCTGTAGCTGGCGGCAGATGCTGGGGAGCTGCCTTTTTACCTGCTTGCTGGAAATAAGGGCTCCGTGTGCCCTCAGCAGCTGTGCCCTCTCTCCTCAGGGCCTGGCCTATGTGGAGTACGAGAACGAAGCGGAGGCCTCGCAGGCTGTGCTGAAGATGGACGGCCTGACGATTAAGGAGCACGTCATCAAGGTGGCCATCAGCAACCCGCCGCTCCGGAGGCCGCCGGAGAAGCCCGAGGCCGGCCGAGCCTCCCAGTTCGCGGCCCCGCGGCAGCTTTACGGAGCGTGAGTGTCCCGAGGGAGGTCCCGTGGCGAGGCTGGGGGAGCAAGCACCAGGTTCCCCAATACRCTGAAATGTGGGAATTTCTTATAGGTTATGAGTGTTTAACAGATCCTGAGTGGTAAGATTTGGGGATTGTTGGATGAAAACRAGCAGGTTTGCTTCTTTCCTTTTACATTAACAACATAGAGTCCACTGTGAGTAGAAGTACTCRCCGTTGGGCATCCTGTGATCCTGCCCACACCTCGGTGCTCGTAGCTGTTCCCCATCCTCTGGTTCTGCAGAACGAGCTGCTCCCCATGAGCATCGGGACTGCTCCCCGGTGCCCCAGGGCTCCCTGTGCCTGGGGGGTTGGTGTTGGCATCGCCCTGCGTGTCCTGTGGAAAAACAGGCGGCTTCGGTTTCTGGGGACTGTCGGCAGTTGTTTTCTGCTGGGGTAGGTATAGGGTTCCCGAGGGCATCACTTAGAAGCTTTGTGCGCTGCTTATTACTGAAGCAAAAGAGAAGAATGAGTGTCCCGTTTGGTGAACAAAGTGCTGGTTGTTTCCCTGCCCTTCAGTCTGTCCAAAGAGAGCTGGAATATCTTTAACCGTGACTTCTCGCCCTGCAGGCGAGGCAAGGGAAGGACGCAGCTCTCCATGATGCCTCGTGCGTTACAGCGCCAGAACCATCCCGTGGCCAAGGCYGAGAATGGGATGGTCCAGAATTCACCAGCAACCTCATCCGGAGCCCCCGAGGAGCCCAAGAAGATGTCCAACGCTGACTTTGCCAGGATGCTACTGAAGGAGTGAGCCCAACGGCCGCCAGCAGCTGGTCTGGTAAAATGTGAAATGCCTTTATGGAAGCCATGTTGTGTCCTTACTCGTGCTAGCAAGGAGAGAGCGCCAGTCACAATCATGTATAAATACTGTTCTGGACTGCTGCATTCATGAAGATCAGTGTAGAATGGTACAAATCCCTTTTTTGTTTTGTTTGGTCGTTTTCTTTTTTTCCTCTGTTTCTAAGAGCAAAGAGTTATACTGTGTCCTGGTAAAATGGCTTTAAATGATCCCTCATATTGAGGGTAACGAGGGAGGAAATATTTCCTTTACAGGGTGGATGGCACACAGGACTTTGTGAATACTTCATGGCTGTTTTTCTTTCGTTAAAGAATGAGATGCTACGTGAAAGCCTAGTGACGAGCTCGCCGCGCTGGTCGGAAGTTCAGGTTGTGATTGAAGTCCTTCTCTCTGACAACAAACGCCCGTTTCTTTTTTACACACCCACCTTTCCATAAAAAACGGCAGATGCTAGTAACTTCACCACAATGGCCTATTTTAGTATTGGGAGAGTTTCTATACGGATGTGTGTATATGTGTAGATATACAAATATACATACATATCTGCGTATTCAGTTGATGTCCTGTTCAAGTTGACCCGTTTTTTATATTGTGTATTTGTAAATGACATTCAGACGATTATTTTTAAGTGTCATGAGCTGATACTAGAGGCAGAGTTTTGTTTCCCATGAGCTGTACATGCTGTTGCCGAGGACCATTTTTTGTTTTGGGTTGCTAGCCAGCTCCGTGTCTCCGCAGGTGGTTTCTGTATGGTTTTGTACAAATGTGAAGTGCAAGCTGAAGTTTCTTGGTTTATTAAACTCCAGTTCTCAAAGGTTTTCTATAAATACTGTTGCTTTTGTTGAAATGTGGGTGACGGAATTGCACTTATCCAATGGCAGCTGGGTGATACTGAYGTACCTCCCCTCTCAGGTGCACTGAGATCCGTTACATGTTTAAGTACCTCGTTCCCTTTAGTGCGAGTATCCTGCAACCACTTTAGCAATCACCCTGACTTATAGGCTGGTGACTTATAGGCTTATAAGTCTTATAGTCTTCTATAGTCTTCTATAGACTTATCATAACCTAGTGCACGATCCTGGATAGAAATAGTGTTGCTTCTCCGGCTAGAGGTGCTGCCGACTCGGGCAGGCAGCGCCCCGGSAGCTAACGTGAGGGAAACTGGGTTCACTTGTGCAGCGCAGGGCCTGCTGCGCAGCCCCTCAATCCCGTGGGCAGGATTTGTGCTGCTTTGACTTGGCTTTCCTTGGAAATGAAGGCGCTGGCACCGCAGCTCTGGCCGAGGGACCGCGTTTTGTCAGCACTCGTGCTCTGCGTGTCCTCTGCTCGGCCACACGCGTGGGAACAGCCGCCCCACAGGGCCTTAATGCCCTTTGTGTCGCAAAAGCAGCTTCTTGAGCGCTAACCCGTAGTGTGGACTTGGTGGGACACGGGCACAAGGGCGGCGCAGCCGGCTCCGCTGCCAGGCAGGCACCCGCAGCAGCCTCCTGGAGCAGCAGCGCCCATCGGGGCTGCCTTGGCTGCTGGAGCAGCCCCTGCCCCATCAGCACCCAGGGAACCAGCGGGGCCCGGACAGCACTTAGGAACACAGCGGGGACCCTTTCTTAGTTTACTGCAGTAGAAAAGTGTTCTGAGAACAGTTTGTTCCAAACAAAGGCTTTAATATTAAAATACTTTATTAATCTGTTACTAAAATAACTTTTCAGAGCTCTAAAGTGCAGATTTTTTTATATATATATTCACCTTGCACTACAAAAATAAAGCATGCTTTGTAAAAACTCAACAACTCCCCTTTTGGTTTTCTGTCAGCAGTAATAAATACTGGGGGTACAACATAGAGGTAACTCCAGGTCTTGTCCTCTTGTCTGCTCCTTCTATAAACTATACCAGTTTCGCAAGTAAGAAATACTTAAAGTGGAGGAAATGATACTGGCACAGGACAGTGTAACACCTCAGGCTTTTCTGCAAAGCACTTRGGCTTATCAGCACTGAGGTCACAAAGCTCTGAGGTGCAGTCCAGAGTGGATGCTGGGGTCTGACACATTCAGAATTAATGGGCAGGGTCCAGAGAGCTTCTCATCTGTAGAAGAGAAAATTAGATTGCAGGTGCTTTTACCCTTCAAGCAAAAGCAAAGATAACTCACGTGTCCAGACAGGATCTTTAGTGCTGCATGGTTTTTTTTCCCCCCATTGAGCTGGACAGCAGCTTCCAGCTCCATCAACAACTGCTGCAGCACAAAGAAGCCCTGTGCGATGCTTTAAACATGCATCGCCCTAACGCCGTGAACCACTCATTACTGAAGTCGCTGCTCAAACTTCTCTTGTGCAGAGGGAAGGAGCTAAAAGACTTTGGCAGCCGTGTAAGTTTTTAGGATGTAGAGAACTTGCTCTACAAATCTTGAGTGAGAGGGTAAGGCCGATAAGGGTTGTTTCCTAGTCAGCTATAACAATTTCTGCCCCCAGTGTTGCAGAAACGAGCTGTTCTTCAAACCCTTGATGAACTGAGTGGAGAGAGTTGCAGTTTCCCAGGCTGTGGCTTGGCGAGGCGAGCCTTGGTGGAGCTGCTCCTGCTCTCGGGCACAGCAGAAGCAGCTTCCAGTTGAATAAGGAGCCACGGAGCCTTTCTTCACAGCCGCTGTGTCATCCTACACCAAGGATTTCCCACGTGTTGCACAAACCTGCCCCAGGAAGGCGACTGAAAGTGAACATGCAAAGTGCTACTAAAAACAGAAAGCAAAGGGGAAAATGCCCTTGTTGACCTGAAATTAGTTTCCTTCACTAGCGGTAATAAATAAAAGGAGGGCAAATTTGTATGAGCGAAGAGGCACAGTCTGATTAACAGGGCTAGGACCGTGATGGAGGTGCAAGGGAAGGGGTAACAAAAGTCAAGGCAGTCTCGCCCAGCAGCTGCCTCGTGGGGTGAGACAAGTCCACAGGCCAGGTCAAGGGCTGTGATCAAAGTGGCTTCTCACAACTGAAGTTTAAGGAGAAAGRAAATGATTTCTGCTGCAGCTTGTTGAGTAACCTCTGCAATTTGCTGCCCTCCCGCTTCCCATCTCTGTCCAGGAGCGCAGGCAAGTTACAGCTCACACTCAACATCAACAATTCACGTGTCAGCTTGGCGTAATATATATAAATAAATTACATTAAATTAATCAAACGTAAGAGACTTTAAATAAACGCAACGCTAGCAAGTGACACCTCCTGCGGAGTCATTTCCCGGCAGGAGCCCTGCGGGGCTTTCTGTCCTACACGTGGGTCCGGTTGCGGGGCGTCCCGCGCGCTCAGGTCGTGACGGGGATGGTGGGCCCGCGCGCGGTGGGGCCGCCGGCCTCGGGCAGCCCCACCGAGTATTCCGTGGTGGCGATGAGCAGCATGTCCAGCGTGGTCTCCGTGCACTGAGCGATGAAGCGGATGAAGGGCCTCACGTCGCCCTCGTTGGCCACTTCCAAGACGTGGTAGTACTCGGCCCGCTGCTCCTTGCGGATGGTGATGGGCGGGTAGCCCGCCTGCATCAGGATGAGGTTCATCAAGAGGCGCGAGGTCCTCCCGTTGCCGTCCACAAAGGGGTGGATGTAGACCAGCTTGTAGTGGGTGAGCGCGGCAAATTCCACGGGGTGCAAGCTCATGGCGTCCTCGGAGTTCAGCCACTGCACGAACTCCTGCATCTGCTTCTGCACGTCCTGCGGGTGCGGCGGGATGTGGTGGCCCACGAAGACCTGCGTGGCGCGGAACCTGCCGGCCTCCACGGGGTCGGCGTAGCCCAGCACGCGCCGGTGGATCTCCAGGATGTCGCTGATGGTCACGGAGCCGATGCGCGACACGAGCGTGGTGTTCATGTACTTGAGGGCGGCGTGCATGCCGATGACCTCGTTCTGCTCCACCAGGCTCTTGCCGGGCACCGCGTACCTCGTCTCGAGGATGTGCCGTATCTCCGACAGCGTCAGCGTGTTCCCCTCGATAGCGACCGTRTGGTAAATGTGGTGGTAATAGGACTCCTCCATCACTCGCCGCAGGGCGGAATTGCCTTTGGGGATTGCCATCACTTTTTTGACCTTGCTGTCGATAATGCTGAAGTACCTCTGGTCTATCTCTTCAACTAAGGGCAGAGTTCGGTCCCGATTGATCAAAGCCTTCTCGTTGCAAGGGGAAATGGTCAGCGCTTTGGAGTACAAATAGTCTGCCTGCAGAATGTCCTTCTCCTCTTCAGAAAAGATGCCAAATTCATTCAGGGCATCCACGTAATCGGGATCTATTTTGAGGGCATAGACAAAGAGTTTGTGGGCCTTCTCCCGCTTTCCCTGACGCTTCATTTCAAGGGCTTGGTTCAGGGCAGCTTTGGCTTCGGACTTCACTTCTGGAAGACGACGACATGAGCAGTTAGACAACAGAGAAGCGGCTTTCACCCCAAACCTCCGCAGACTCTCACTGGTCACGGCCACGAGAATGAGACACAGCCAACAGTGAGGAATCCTAACGAGGGATTTGCATCCCAAGGGGCAGGCGCTGCTGGTGCCCGCTTGCCCCGGAGCCCGGCCGTGTCCCCACGGCGTGCGGTGGCCTCCGCCGGGCTGGCGCCGCAGCGGTGCCCACGGAACACGCCTGTGCCAACAGCCCACGAGAGGACACATCCTGGCTGAGCTCTGCGCCATCAGTGCCCATTTGCCGGGTGTAAGTGGGGTTCATGTTACACCCGCTCTTAGTTCTGGCTTAAGACACAACGCCAGCCTCTAGGTACTTAATAGTACATAGAATGATGCATAAAACTTCTGGGAGACTATACAGTGCTGAACGCTCCCAGCCCCTTGACCTCTTGGTAATCAACGGCTCAGTTTAATTTGCCAGTGGGCAATTCCTCACTCGTCTGCGGGTATGTGGAGAGGTCCCCTGGCAGGGGCTGCGCGCGGGCCGGCTCTCACCTGGGGACGCTTTTCCTTTGAGCACCAGCAGCTCCAGGCCGCTGGAGGCCACGCTCAGCCCGCTCGGCGGCGCCGCGTAGGTGGCGATGGCCGAGGAGCCGCCGGCCGCTTTGCCCCGCAGGCCGGCGAGCGCGCGGAGCAGCGCCCGGCCGGGCT